AAAAAAAAAAAAAAAAAAACTCACTGCCCTCCAGTCGTCTCCAACTCATAGGACCCCTCCTTGGTATTACTACATAAGTAGATTGCCCGACCTTCCTTCTGAGGAGTGGCTGGTAGGTTTGAACCGCCAGCTTTCTGATTAGCAAATGTCTCTGGCACTACGCCACCAGAGCTCCTCTTACTTTGTTAAGAGTTTTAAAATTTAAGCACAGAATTTTCAGAAAGGGAAGGAAAGAGTGAATTTCACCCCAGTTTAGGCCTATGTGTCCCGTGCTAAGAATACTCATATTCAAGTTATTTGCAAGCCAGTTTTGCCCCTCAGTATCACACGCACAATCAAGGTGCCTTTCACCCCCAGCTGCGGCGGGGATCTCACAGACGCAGAAAGGCCAAGAAACGGGCCTTGCCCCAGATTTGGAAACCTACACTATAACTAGTGACGAAACTACGATTTTTGAAGCGGCCTAAAGGATCCCTGAAGTGCCGCTTGTTCACACCTGCACAAGAACTACTACTGACCTCACACTTTCCACCGCAGACCCTCTAGTGAAGCGACCCCGGCCCCACATGGCGAGCCCTCAGCCCTCGGTCTGCCACTAGAAGTCCACAGCCCGCTGCAGCGCACGTGCAGATCCTTACCGCGCACGCCCAGGCGGTTTCTCACACTGCGCCTGCGCACTCGTTACTGCTCGCCATCACCTGTTTGTTGGTGTCCCTGCTTCCCTCGCCGGGCTGCCAAGACCTCAGGCATGAAGTTAGAAGTGTGAAGGAGTGGGGGGCACGTCGGGGTGCGATGCTTGCTGGTAACTACCACGCAGGCTAAGAGCTGAGCACAAAAACTGCGTGCTGGCGTCTTCTAGGTGTCGTGCATCTGGGGGCGATAATTATGTAAGAGAGTGAATTTGTGGTCTTTACTAATTGCTCACATTTATTTAAATTTTAAAACAGCTAAATTCCAACATTCCTTTTACAGGTTAGAAAGGGGAAAATGATTTTTGTGAGTGATAATTAGCTTTTCAAATTAGAAGCTCTATAAGCATTTCTGAATCCATCTCTAGCATCTGCAACTCCAGCATTGCAGCTTTTTCACATTAAGGCAGGGGGGAAAAAAAAAAAAACTGTATCTTAGCTGTGCAATTACATCCAGATATTACACCTCGTGGCAAACCTTGCACGAATGAGATCTCCAATTTTTTTAAGTTTGATGGAGGTATAATTAACATGCAATAAACTGCACATATTTAAAGCACACAATTTTATAAGAGCAGACATCTGTACACAACTGAATTTATCTCCACAATCAAGATAACAAATATTTCCATTATCTCAAGTCTCCTCATGCTTTTTTGTAATTATACCTGCTCCCATAAAGTAACCACTGATACACACTTTATCACTATATATCACCTTGCACTTTCTGGAACTTGATGTTAATGTAATTACACAGT